CAAGGGGAATTCCAAGGCTCCGTGGAAAAGAAGAGAGGACTCTCTATCTTGGCACTGAAAATCCACATTCATGTCTTCCCAGAATACAGGGGGAGAGCCTACACCCGTCCAGAGGGTGTTGGACTTCAACTCCCATCATCACTGATCATTGGCCCTGCTGGCTAGAGCTGGCTGGGAGCAGTGAATTTGACAACTGGGTCACAGGCTTTCTGCCCCTGCTAAATCTTCAGCAGTGGGGCTCCTTCAGAAATGTCTATTAATCCCTTCATGCTGAGAGTACACTCTTTTCCTTCCTATAGTTCAGTGTTGTGCTTTATATGAGCTGTTAGGTGTGAGGAGATTCTTTATGTCTCAGGATGGGCAAGAGTTTAGTTTTAATTCCTTTTTTTAAATAAATGGCATCATATTTGTGATGGAAAGAACCTGAGATTAAATCAAATGCAAACAGAATGCAGGGAAACAGAAACAGACATGCATCTATATGGAGGGCTTCCAATGCAGGGATCCTGTTGAATTTGGCTGATGCAGATCAGTGAGAGCTTTGATAAGGATTTGCCAATATTCACACATTTCTGCTTATCCAGGATGGAAAGAATAAGGTTTTTGTTAAATGAATGCATGAAAAAGTGAAAGAGAGTCATCAATCAGATGGAAGGGGGGATTGAATTTCCTGTGTGTGGCAGGTCAGCTTGATTCCATGGACGTGTGTGTGTGTGTGTGACTATGGAAAGAGCAATGAGCATTTTGTGCATCTGTGACTGTGAGTTAACTGTGCAATCATAGAATGTGGCTTACAGCACTTAACTGAGCATCCTTCCATGAGGCGGGGAAGCTTTTGGCTGTAAAATACAGCCAAAGAAGGACTATTCTGGGACTATTCTGGAAGAGGGTCTATTCTGTCTTGTGACAACAAAACTCTTTTCCTAACTTCTGCCTGCCTGGAAGGAGGCCTGATTCAGTCAAGCCTGAGAGGTTTTATTGGAAGACTGAGAGGATTTTTTAAAAATTTCCCAGGCCCTTCTCTCAATGTGGTGCCTGCCATCAAATGGAGGGACATGTAGCCAGGCACATGCTCCCAGCTTATCTCTGCCATGCCCTGTCCAGCATTATTAGCTACTTGGAGAAGGCAGGGCTGGATGAGCAGAAGCTCTCATTAGAATGTAATGGTGAAATGTGCTCTTTGTGTAGCTGAAGAAAGAAGAATTGCACACGAAACTCATGCCTTCATTTCTATCTAAAACAGCAGTATGGATGTTCCTTAAGAAACAACTTATTTAGTGGTCTAATTTCCTCTGGACCAAAATAGGAATGTCATAAGACATCATTCTGAGAGTCACCACACAATTGCCAAGGAGGTAAACAATACTACATGAAGTTTGAAACCTATTATTGTTAACTGTTATTATTGCATACATCTTCACAAGGTAATTTCCAGGGGATACTGAAGAACCACCCTCAAGCTGAATGTACCATTTGTTTAGACCCTCAAAATTCTAGATTAATGTAGCTTGTATATTAAGTCAGAAACCAAAGTGGAAAAACCACAGTTGAGTGGATCTACCCTCAAGGCAGCAAACTGTAGCTGTTATATATCTCTCCCCACCCCTCACTAATTGTCTGCAACTATAAATAAAACAGAGTATCTCAAATGTACAAAATATGTTGTTCAGTCTCATCCAACCTCCAGAAAGGCTGTCTACGGCAATGTTTAACAACACCAAGCAATCAAACCATATTTTCAATACAAAAAGAAAAAAGAAAAAAGCTTCTTGGCAGGGAAAAATAAGTGATGCATTTATTGTTTGTTATTCAGATAAAATCCCATTGCACACATGGTAAGATTCAAGTACATTGCAAGCCAATCTTTTCAGTCCTTTTTGTATGATAAGAGTAAATACCAAGTTTAGATAAGATGCAAGAAAGATAGGTTTGTGGTCAGAGAGCCACATGCAGCATTTGAGGAACTTTTTCAAATAATAATGCTCAAGATATTTCATGAGCCACGTCATCCCCAGCACTTTCCCCAATGTACCTCTTTTTGTACATTTTTTCACTGGAGTCCTTCACTGGAAAACTTAGAGAAATGAAAATTTGAAGGATTAATTATTTTGTGTTTATGTTGGCTCAAAATGTGTCCTCTTTTGGGAGAAAGGCTTAACAATAGACTCAGTTTTGGCTGCAATACTATTTTAAGACTATTTCCATTTTTAAAAAATAAAGCATAATTTCACGCCCAGACATAGGAGGGTTTTAGATTTCTCTGTCTTTGCAACTTTTTCATTTCTCCACTCATTGCTTTGAAAGTCACTCATATTCTGCCCTGTCCAGTATCAAAGATCAAGTTGTTAATTATCATCAGGATAAAACTTTACTAATATTGGATTAAATCTTCCCAGGCTAAGTTGGAGATTCATAATAAAGTTCATACAGAGGGTAAAAATATTACTAGGAGGCACAGCTGAATCTTGCATTTCTATTACTTTGCCAACATGAGACACAGCTGAATAAGAGAAACCTGCCCAAACAAGACAACATCAAGAAAACAGAAGGACCCACAGCTTTATCATTCCCGTATTGCCCTTTCCCTGTACATTGTCTCTCTGGACTGAGCTAATGGAAGCAAAGCATCCTTCCTTATTTAATAGCTCAAAGCAGAGATGTACAATCTTCTTAGCCTCGATTGTCAGAGCCACGCATCCACAAGAGCCACACATGTCCGTGGCCATGTCCATACCGGCATGCACAGACATGAGCTGCCACGGGTGGGGTGCTAACCCTTTTGTCTCCTACCTAAAGATGGCTGAATCACCCGGCAGCACTTTCTCATAGCATCCCTCTGAAATGTCTTCTCAGAAGTAAGCAGGACTGGATGCTTGTAAAGGGAGTGACTGTGGGCCATGGTTTGCACACCCCAAAGGGTGGGTGGGGGGGATATTGAGATCACCACAAGTTTGGGTTTACAGTTTTCTTTTAATGAAATTATGTGGATTTAGGCAATCATGTTTTGCTGTTGCTGTTGTTAAATATAGGGTTAAGGTTATGGGGATTGTGCCGTAAATTATTTTTATAAAATCCAGAGAATACTTTACCAGAGACCTGTGTTAGAGAGGCCCACTAATGGTCAGGGTATCATGTTTGCAACTGTTGAGGTCTTGCTGTGCATTATGCTGAATACAACAGGCAAGAAACGTCTTCCAGCGTGTCCTCCATTAGCTATGAAGTCTGGTGTACTGGCCCTTGGGAAGCATAGTTCTGTCAAACAAAATGGTTTACATTAATGCACTGGACATAAAAACAATTTGTATAATATGCTGCAGTTTGCATATATGACCTGGAGTTCTGTAATGATGGCTAGGAATGGAATGTCAAGTAGTGAGTAGCTGAATTATATTTAAGCAGTTGAGTACCAATAAAGGAGCTTTACTTCTCTTCATCCTACTACCAACAATAATATAAAATAGACTCTTCAAGACCCAGAACTAGTCTACTAATATTACTTGAAATCAGAAAGTGACATTTTTGGCATTCACAAAGCTTTCCGGTTTGCTGTTAACAACTTTTTGAAAAAGACCTTGGGAAAACCCATCCTCTCTCCATCTCATTCTCGGAGATAAGATTCAGCAGGTCAAGCCTACACTTGATTTATGTGGATATATTAGGAGGGAGGGAGCACTGGAATTATCTCCACCCTGCAGTAAATTTCTTATACAGGAAGACATCAAAACTGAGGAAACTTTAACCAATTGCCCACAGATCTAACTTGTTTGACACAGGGTATGTAGCAGCTGTAACAATCCCGCCTGGAACAGAAGATAACAGCCTCCTATTTGGACCATATTATGCATAGACTGGAGTGAAACTTAGCGACCTTCTTCAGCTCCAAGATCCTGTGGAAACCTTACAGGGTTATAATAATCCAATACATGTGGTTCACTTCCACATGGTGAGTTCTTCTGATGTTCAGCCTCACATTCTGGGCCTATGGACATTAGACTGTATACAGATTGTAAACCATATTCAAACATTGTGACCCTGTGAGGCAGTGAAGCTGAAAATGGGGGCGATGTGACAGGTGAAGTCAAGCATGTTCTGTGTGTATGGGCCAGATCAAGGAGAAGTATTGTTTGATCAGACACAATCAATTCAAATCATGAAGCAGCTTCTTCGGTGTTGTAGAAGAATTTAGCAATGCAGCTACAGGGATCTCAGGGGACAACTATTCTTTGTAAATTATGGATAAAGAAATAGAGAAAAACCTAACTGCATCGCAAGCCTACTTTGTTAAAAAGCCTTTCAAACAGTATACTTTTGTTTCCTGTAGCATATCTTTATCTTCTGAAAGATTCAATCCCTTTATTTGGAAAACTCTACAATTAGAATAAATCTACTTCTAATGGATTGCTGATAGACTTGGTCTACATATGCAAGTAATAATGGCTTTGCTACACATTTTAAATCATGTTTATTAACATAGGCTGAAGACATATAGTTTTAAAGTATTTCTAACTCCTGGCAATTGCCAGTAGAGAATCAGGATGATGTGGTTACTTTGAACTCAGAATTGTTGTTCTGGTGTTTTTACAAAATGATAACTAAATAGCTGGAAGTAGATGAACCAGAAACAAGGATATTTTTTTTTAAAGCTTGCTTTTCACTTCCTGACTTGGCCTAAAAGCCAAGAGAAGGAGCAAAAAAACATGTTTTGGCTATAGTAGATGAATTAGTTCATTTCATGGAGAGAAGAAGAGAATGATTAAAGACATGACAATTGGTTTCAATTATAAACTGTAAACTGGGATGGATGGTAACATGATGAACTAATATTAGAAGAAAGCATAACATTGTAAAAATGAAGACAAATGAGTGTTAGGGAATTCTGTGTATATATTTATTGTATGCTACCCTATACATGCATGCAAAAAGATACTCAAGCAAATACAATGATGCATATTTTTATATGGTTGCCTTCTCAATTGAGAATATAAAACCTTGCTTTCCAGGTTGCCCTCCCCTGGGTCTTGAGACTTTAAAAATAACTGACTTTCAGCTGCAAGCATCGACAATAAAACGATACGGTCTTGGGGCCCACAGAGCACGACTAAACATTCAGGTAAATTCAGCTTCCTTGCAATCTGATGTAGAAGTTAAGACTGTCCTGTAAGTGTTGACAATGCTATATTATTGTTTTCAAACAATGGTCAGCTATCACTGCTTAACAAAAGGTGACGTTTTACATTACATGGTTCATTGGTTTTGTTTCTCGATTCTGAATTTTCCAGCATCAATGCCCAGAAGTCAAATAATTACAGAATTCTTTAAATTGAGGAGAATGAGACCCAAGCTACACATTATATGCAGCAAGCAGCTACATTGCTGTGAACTTGATTTCCTCCCCACGTACACTCAAAGCCACAGCCTTTCTTGCAAAGCATGCTTTACTGATCAAAGAGTTTTCCAGAAGCTCAAACACCCAGAATTAATCTCTGAGCATGCACAGAGTGGTTCATTAAACCCAATCTAGTATTGTAATGTGTATATATATCAATATTAATGTCATCTCCATAAACCCCAGGCCAGAACAGGCTTTTAGGCCAGGGTTCATGTTGGGGGACACAGCTTTCCTTGTGAGTACATTCGGACCCCATCCTTTTGGGAAGGGTCTTTTGGAAACAAGACACCTCCTCTTTTCACACCGATCCTCTAATTGGCCTGCTGTGCTCTGTCTATGTCACGTCACAGGGTGAGAGCTGTATCCACCATCTCTCTCTCTCAGAAACTCCCATTCTAAGCCCCCTCCTGCTACCTGTACATCTTGGGTAGCTTGAGAGGCTGCCTGCACACCTGGGGAGTCTGGCCTTGAAATAAGCAGCTCTACCTCTTTTCTGGAGCCTTCTCCTGCTCCTTGTTCAAGTCACAATCAGAAGGCCTTGGGATGCATGACAAGAGCTACTCTCTTTCTTACTCCTGGCATACATTAGCATCCCTGTCTTATTTAAAAGCAACAGCAGGGGATCAGATCTTAGGGTGAGGGTAGGGTATCACTTTGTCCCCTATTGTACTCCTAATCCACACTGGTGATCTCATGCTTGCTATTTGTGCCTCTATTGAAGCGAATAGAGGGAAGTTTTTCCTATGCAATTTGCAGCCCTGGACCCCACTATTTTACAGGGGTTTGGGGAAAATAAAATGGTGTGTGGGAGAACTTTGTACACCACCCTGAACAAGGATGGGTAAATATGTCCAACTCAATTTTGCCAATGCTATAAATTGGCTCCACCCAGATTCCATTTGGTTTGATTGTTTTTCCCTTTTGCTCTGCATGAAAATATGGATGGTTTTTTGTGCTATATTACAAAATAATATACTATAATAATTCTTTCCCCCAGTGCATACACTTTTATGTATACTTCTTTACATGTATGTTTTTTGTGAGTGATTTACTTGCAAATTTCACAAATGTACAGATTTTAGTGGCAGACTGTACTGTGGTTCATGTTCAGCTTTAGGAGATCCAAATGCTGCAAAGTGAACAAATTTCTTGCCCATCCCTATCCTGAGTGAAAAAAAGTTAGAAAATAATTACATTAAAATAGTTTGTTTAATGAGCACAAGTAGCAAACATTTCCTTGATTATCAGTTTTGTTTCAGTCATAATGCTGAAGCCTTAAACATACGTACTTGATGATTAATTGGCAGTATGGGACTGGATAAAAGCTTATTCCTTATGCAGGACAAAATCCTGAATCTTTGTTAGTCAAAATATCATTGTTTTCCATTAAAAACAAGATTTGATCCAGCTAGCATTGTTTCAGTCTCCTATAATAACTTCTTCATTTTTTTCTGAAACTTGAGCTCCTGCTTCCATCAGTTTCCAGCATAAATGCTTTTTTGATCCCATCACTTTAGAACATTGGTCTATCAATGACACTTGAGTCCCTAATCTGGAGTAGTGTTTAATCATTTAAGTTTATCTGCTTGTCTTTTTCCTGTTCAGACACTACCTATTTCTCTTATGCAACTTTATCAGTAATGGACAGACACAGTTACGTGCAAGTCGCACACTTCCTGCTGTGCAGCAGCTGGATAATCTTCTGCTAGTCCCATAATTCAGATCGGCTATTCATATAACCCATCATGACTGACAGTCTGTGTCATCGGGCAGTTTTCCTGCTCTTTTCTTCCGTATGAGATCCTTCCAATATAAAATTAACAACTTTCAGCCAGTTCAAACTGAAAAACCTTCTAGATTTATTATTTTTAAAATTCATTTCAAGAATTGGAATTGATTGAAAACGCTCTATTCTATTATGATCTCTTTATTAGTTTTGACACTTGTAATCAGCTGTCTTTTTAGAAGTTTAGCGGTGTTCAAATGAATAGCTGAAGCTTATTTATGTAAGTGGAATAAAGCTATTATCTGGAAGGGCTTATGTATATAGCAAAACCATCTTTGAGTCTTGTCTAACCTCCCACTGTTGCCCACCCATTTCTCAAGCATGAACAAATATATTGTGACACAAGTTCCATTTATTCCCAGAACCTAGTTTGTTAGATGTATAATATCAGATGGTGTGTAAACATGCACATAAATGAAGCGTTGCGGAACCTCTGAATTTGATGCTGAATTTGATCAGGAAGTCTGGTTGCAGTATAGAGATTTAGTCCTTTATAGCTAATTATATTGATTATGGTAGTAAGAAGTATGCAATTTTGCCGAGTGTTTGAGGAACAAAGACATCTGGTTTGATTAGAAGCTTGGTAGCACCTGAAAAACACAGCATTAAATTCCTTTGAGGAACTAATTCAAATTGTCCCAGATCATTACATGCCATTTGACATTATGTGATGCTTTAACAGTTTCACACACCCACCTAGAATGACTATGAAAGTTTTCACATTAGAGCTATGTTATCTATCAGAGAATTGTGGTTTTGAGGACACCTTGAACAGCATGCCTAGGGGGAGCTGATTTGTAGCATCCTGTTCTGGAATTTGTACAGGACATGGAAGTGAAAGTTCAGTATTTCCAAACACTCATCGCTGCCAGGCATAAATTGTCCAAGTAAACGTTAGCTAATGGGAACTGCACATTAGCTAATATGAACACAGATCTACAGGGTAACACTCTGTTTTTGTTATGGAGGAAACAGTAGCAGTAACATGAATAGTATTTCTTTCATTTCTATCTTGTCCAGTATCTCATGACTGACTGACTGGCTGGCTGTCTGGCTGGGACAGGCTGGGAACTGTTGGAGGGTTTTCTTTTTTTTTGTATTAACACAATGTAGGATTGTACCCTAGATGTTTATATGTGGCTCAAAGTAGGAAGCGTTGTGTTTGTGTGTGGCTATCATGTGTTCCTAGCATCTAGCTTTTTGCTCCATCTTGCTTCCAGTGGGGTGATCAGGCAGGTCTTTGGGGCAGAAGTCCAAGGCCCCTCTCAGCAAATTGAACAAGGAGGACCTTAAATGCAAAAGGTCTGACCACATGTTGAAGTGATACATTTGCACAGAGCATATGTATTACTTCCCACCCCTCACCCATAAGTTCAAATAATCAATACTTTAAGTCCATGCCTAGCAGCTTCAGTCTTTCTTTATGTTTACTTTAGTATAGATGCAAGAACTCTGTTCCAGACTGGGACATTAGCACAGGGCTGTGGGGGGCGGGGGGGCGGGGGTGTTAAAATCCATGCCGGGTGCCCTGCACCTAGTCTAAAGTCAAACATTTTAAAAAGTCAAACCTGATGGATCATTGGCTGTGCTATTCAATATTTTCTTTGTGTCTATCTTTAAGAAGTTGATTTATTTCAGAAGCATAAAGAGAGCTTTGCCTTCTTTTCAGGCAGGTATTAATGAAAATGATTTTTATGATGGTGCTTGGTGTGCAGGACGGAATGATCCATACCAATGGATTGAAGTAGATGCTCGGAGGCTCACAAAGTTCACAGGAATTATCACACAGGGAAGGAATTCTCTCTGGCTGTAAGTCCATGTTTTTCATACTTTCTTAGGAAAACTGAGGTGTGAGGATGGATGTTTTATGTTGTTAAAGAGAGAAAGTCAATAGCCAGGCAATGCTGGAATAACACAAGAGAAAGAGGGAGAGGGAGAGGGAGAGAAGTTTATTTATTATTGGGGGGATGCAATACTTTTAAATCTGTGGCAGCCAGTGCCAATGCACGGGAGTATCATGAAGCCTTGTCCCCAGAGGGTTGGGACACTTCTCTTTCAGTGAGAGTTCTTGACGGGGAGCTTAGTTAGCACTGTTTCGCCCTGGCCATCCATTTGCAGTGCAGCACTGCTCGGCTTGGCTGAACTGAATCCCATTTTCTTTGGACAACTTCAGGAGCTGGCCTGACAGTGTGCAGCTATTTTTCTGTGAGGCATACATGGATTGTGAAATGTCCTTGTTACTTTTCTGCTGGGGCTCCTTTACTTTCAAAATGAAGAGGGTCCCACAAACAGATATCATTAGTCCAAAGGAAGGGAAGCTGTTTGTTGAACAAATAGAATATAAAAACAGGATTCACTATGCCATGCATATATTACCTATGGTGTGGCCCATTTTCACTGCTGAACATCTAGACAAGTTTAGTTTAAACAGTCAGTCTTGTCTCTCTCTGCCAACTTGCTCATTCTTTCATATATAGGCTGTCTTCCATTTGAAAAGCTGCCAGAGGCAGACTTCTACCTGAAGGAATCTTCCACTGGAAGTTCACTCCTGTCCAAATTCATTTTAAAAATAAGGAACCATAAGGAGCAAAGCCTTCGAAATAGCTCATCAACAGTTAGTTCTGGACAGTAGACTGAGCAAATGCACAAACTCCCAGTTTCAGTGTTCCATATGATGGTGAGAAGTGAAGTATTGTTATAGTATGGCTGGCTTCACCCTTAGTCATTCCAGCTGGAGTGCAAAAATAAATAATGAAATGCAATGCAATGAAATGAAATGAAATGAAATACATGGCCTTGTATATAGGTAGATTTTCATGGATACCTTCAGTGCATGATGTTGCATCCATCTCTTCTTCTAAACTTTGCTTTTTTACTTCTCCTGATTCAGAAGCACCAAACCACAGTGTGCCTCCCTTTTGCATACCTCTGAAATGCCTGGAAGCACAGGAAGCGGCAGGTCCTGGGCCTACTGCCAAACCATTTCTGTTCCAGGCAAGATCCTGGTTTCCAGATTGAGTGGGGCTTTTCCACAACTATAATGAAATGGGCACATTTGTTATAAATTCTTCTACATGGATTTAGAGGGGCTTGGTCCTTGTATGTGCTCAAGGGGTCTGTGAGCATGCACAGAAACACGCTAGAAACCATGATGAGCTGAAGAAATACTGAGCAAGACTGGAGGCTGACTCTGTGCTTATGCATAACAATCTTCTTGGCAAAACTGCTGGTGTTTCTTTCTAACATTCCAGTTTCTGGAAAACATTTTCATTGCTTGTGCTTTGTGTAATGCTGTGGTTAAAATTCCTCTGTGCCTGACAGGCAATCAGACACAGCAGGGTTTGTATGTCTCCCCCTCCCTCCTCTTACTCTCTCCCTCAGCCCTCCCCAGGGGTCACTGCAGGAGCGACAGGATATCCCCCAAGCAATGGCAAGCCATTTGGTACTCGGTTGCTTGTCAGGCAGAGAAAATTTTTAATCACAGTGTGTGCTTAAAATTCCCCAACAGTAACATGTTGGGTGAAGCCGATCAGTGTGATGTTAAAGTGCAGGTATTTGGTACTGCCCTAGTCATCATTTGCTAGCAAGTATCACACAGACCTCCGTGGTTTTCAGTTAGCCCAAGATTACCATTTTCATTTGCTTGTTCCGGCGGTGCACCTCCAACTCTTCCTCACAGTAGTCACGGTGGTGATTCGAAGGGACTTGTATTATACCCCAAAGGATCTTACAAGCATGCTCTGGGAAAACTAAGATAAAGCCAAGAGAAATGTCTCTGTGTTTTCTCCTGTGTTTCTTAACAGCAGATATTGCTTCTCACTGTCAAGCAGAGCTATTAATACCTGTCATATCAAGACAAAGCGTTGTTTATTCTGACTTCTACAGAAACTTAGTACCAAAAAGTTGAAAGCATCCATTAAATCTTCTGAAATCATTTGTGTTAATTTCTCTAAAAATTATGTGTTTTCTCAAGCATCAGAATAGAAACCATTTCTGATTATCTCCGAGATCCTAAATTTAAAATATCCGGAAGCTTTTACTTATGCATTTAGTTAGTTATTATATTTAAAGTCTTTCTACCCCATTCTTCAGCCTAAAAATCTTCCAATGTGGCTTATGTACAATCTGTAAAACTTACAGTACATTCTAAAAGACAAGGCAGTAAAGAAAAAGGTGATGAGGAGGGAAGGGGAAAACAATCTCGGCACCAATTCTTATAAAGATCAGCTGAAATAGAAACAGGAGCAAGTGCACACCCAATGAAACTGCTTTTGGCTGAGCTGAAGGGGCAGCCTTACTTGTCATCCCTTCCACTACGGCTGATTGAAACCAGTTTTCTATGTCCAATGGCATTTTAACTGAGGTGAGGAAAACCACTGTCCACTCTAATCTAACTGTGTGGGTTCCCCGGAAGGCTTTGCCCCTTCCCTGACTCCACCCTCTTTGCTCCAACCTCCAATTACTGGGTGGTCTTTCAGTTTTGTACACAGTTTTGCCCATTTTAGCCTTTATTCGGAAAGGTACACTTACCCGTGGTGAACTAACATACACTAATATTTTTGTGGTTTGGGCTCTGCCCCTTTTGCCTTTGGCCACACCTAGTACTGAATGCTGGCCCTCCAAAACCATTCTGAAAAGGAATTTGCCTCTTGCCCTGAAAGAGGTTCAGCAACCCAGAGCTGGTGTGTAAGCATGAATTGTCATGTAAACAATTCCATGCATTAATTGAAGCCACCATCAAAAAGCTTACTCATGTCATTCAGTGATTTCGTACAATTACATAATTCAATGGATAGAAGATTTTCCAACATGTCTTTAACAAAATGGAGCTGACATGTATGAAAAGTCACATGTGGATTTCTCTTTATCATTATGCTTATCTAGGTTCCATTGAAATGAATGCCTATTCATTCAGTACAGATTGGGATATGCATTCTCAAGTGAGGCCAGAAGCTGTGCAGAGTTGGATCGTAGGGCATATATCCTAAAATATGGTCACAAAATCACAATTGTTTGCTAGAAAAGGATAGTTTTGCATGTAAGGACCTGCATATTCAAGTCCTGTAGGCTTTCAATTATTCTGTTGATTTATCTCCCTTCCTTTAAATGTGTAGCAATAGAAAAATAGATCTAACTGGGCAAATAAACAATGAAGGTAGTTCAGAAGACTCTAGCTTTGTTGCAAATCTTTCATATTAATGTAATGATCCTATGCACAAACCTCAGAAATAAGTTGATGATTTGTATAAAACTTACTCCAGGTAAGTATTTTTAGGATTATAGTCTAAAGTCTAGAATTGCCTAATGTCTAACTGAAATTATAATAGAAGATTTCATCAAACATTTTTGATGTGTATTGTACTGTAGACTCTAGAGTACTGAGTCTAATACAATTATTTTGTTCTGACTAGGGACAAATACAGGAAACCTTCCTGATGCCAGTTGTGTGCCAGTTGTTGGCTTTGTTGGTTCCATATGATATACTTCCACAGCATGAGAAAATAGGGAATAATCCTGTGGCCATAGGATAGTTTGGATTCTCAGCTCCAAACTTGGTGTGGAAAGACCTTCCTTGTCTGCTCTCTGGTTTGGGGAAGTGACCTCAGAAAGAGTCCAATGGGACATTTCGGGGAAGGAGACTTTCCTGGCCAAGATACAATGTGTTCTGATGCCACTTCAGCCTCCTTTCCTCCCTCTCTGAGAAGCTCCAGCCAGATGGACAAACAGGCCTGTCTAGTGAAAATCAGAGGAGAGGAGAGCAGAGAGGTGCTGCTCTTCTCACTCTGCACCGGATGCCTGTAAACTCCCATGGGATTATGCCCTCGGTGATGAAAAGATTACATGATAAACTGCTTGCCTGTTATAGGCTTGCTGAAGGTTCATGATTCTTGGCCAGAAGCAATTCCAGATGGTATCAGAAATGCTTGCATATCTGTTGAGTGAAATCCTATCCAAAAACTTAATGAGCACTTGACAGTGAAAACCACAGACAGAACTTGATTAAAACAACTCATTACTTTATAAGTGTAGCTTGCAGCTTTGTCTCCCCCTCCACTCTTTTTTATACAAAAGTAAGTACATATGGACCTGATCCAGACTGGGATCCTAGTGTGGGCTACAGATCAACTTTAAAGGGAAGCTTTAAAGTAGGGCAGCTTTAGCTCATTGCCTCTCTGGATCTAGGTCAGGCCATCCCTCCACTGCCAAAAAGGTAACGACTGAGAGCCATGGTGTCATGTGGGACTCGTTGCTGCAGGGAGAGAGCCCCCCCCCCCATTGCAAGCTGTGACAGAACCAGTGTGGTGTAGTGGTTAAGAGCGTGGGACTGGGACTCGGACGATCTGGGTTCGAGTCCCCGCTCAGCCATGGAGCCAACTGGGGGACTTTGGGCCAGTCACAGACTCTCAGCCCAACCCACCTCACAGGGTTGTTGTTGTGGGGATAAGATGGAGGAGGAGAACGATGTAAGCTGCCTTGAGCTCTTTGTAGGAAAAAGGCAGAATATAAATCACAATATAAATAAAAAAATAAAACCACTGGTTGAAGAAACATTCCAAACTAAGAAATGAAAGCAAGGGCAAATCTCTGTTGTGTCACAATCCCTTATAATGGTCATTTCCCTTGGATCATTTTTAATAGAATTTCCCTTATTGTCTCATCCCCCCCCCCCCCCCTTTTTGTTTTGCTGTTTTCACTTTCCTGAGAAAGCCTTGGCTCCACTTGATTTCATGTTACATCTTTCTTCAGCCTAATGACCTAGTTAACAAAGCCCATTGTATTCTTTGGAGACCCAGAACTGCCTTTGGGTA